AAGATCTGCAGTATTTTTTACCTTTTTTTACCTGTGTGTGTGTGTGTGTGTGTGTGTGTGTGTGTGTGTGTGTGTGTGTGTGTGTGTGGAGTGTGTGTGTGTGTGTGTGTGTGTGTGTGTGTGTGTGTGTGTGTGTGTGTGTGTGTGTGTGTGTGTGTGTGTGTGTGTGTGTGTGTGTCAGTGCTGAAGGACCTGGTTCTGATCCCGGTTCACACCAAACCTGATGACTCTCTGAAGGAACTGGACGAGCTGCACGACGTGGTCGACTCCATCAGGGAGAAGTGGGGAACTGATGTGAGTTTGATTTTGTTAGAAAAATCTCCCTGGTCCCCGGCTTGAGCTTGAATCTCAGGATCCATGTATCTGTGATCCTCTCCAGAATGGAAGTAGTCATCACATACAGAGCATCAACTAGTTCCTGAACAGTGTCCTTCACATGCTGATATCCAAGAGAGGGAGTTACACAGTCACAAGATGGAGGAATAGAAAGCAGTATTCAATGTTTACTTCAGATTAGCTCCACGTCAGAAATGAGCATGCTTGTCATATGTCTCTCTCCATAGAGGCTGAATCATCATGTTAATCACATAGCTATCATATGCCTCAAACAGTCCTGATGCTCTTCTAGGTAATCACACATCCTGTCATGTTCACAGCTACAGTTGATACCTTTGTTATCAAGTTACTCTGATATTAGAAGAGGACATTCAGTATTTTCCCAACAACATTAAACTCTGAGAGAAAGTGCAACGTACATTTCAACATTACAGGATGTTCGTTGTGTTCATAACTCTAAATTTACACTCAGGAGTTTTTTTTTGTACCTCTTTTGCATAATTTAAATGAATTTCAAAGCCCCGGTTTTGTTATTATTTTGCAGCAAACACTGTCTCAAAATTATTTTAGAAGAATTATCTAATATACCAGGATATTACCATTTACATGTTCTGTTAAACCTTAGTCATTATGTAGAACACAGGGGAGTTTTCCTTCTGTACGGCAGATGTTTAAAGTCTGCTGTCTGACATTTCAGCCTTTAATCACTTTATGGTTGTTTTGCATTTGAATGGTTAAAGATATGCAAATGCTGCTCTCGCTGTGATACAAAGTGAAAGACTGTTGTCAGTTTTAGTTGTCCTTAATCAGAAGGAGATTTGTTAATTTTTAACAGGTGGATGGTTTAGTTGTGCTTGAGTACATTTGACCTACATTACCTTTACTTTAATTGAGTGTTATAATGTTTGATGCTTTTTAATTCTGACCTCTACATCCAAAAATATTTTACTATAAAATAAGCGCTTTGAATACCAGGAAAAGCACTTTATAAATGTAATGTATTATTATTATTATTATAAAACTACCTTATTTACTCCTCTAGATTTACCTTAGTAACTTCTTACATTTTACATGTGCATACTATATGATGCAGCGCTGTACTAGAAGAGGTCCTGAAATTGGCTCATTATCCACATACTACAACATTAATTCAAACGTATTTGTGCGGTTAAAAAATAACAATAATATAACGTTCTGTGGGAATAATACACAATATTACGCAAAATGAGTACTTTTACATTTGATACTTTAAGTACTGATAAAATGCTGTTAATGATGTTTCTTCTGCAGAACATTATGATTCTGGGAGATTTTAATGCCGATGGACGTTATCTCTCCAAGAAGAAGAAGGACACGATCCGTATCTCCTCCGCTCCTTATCATTGGCTGATAGACGATGATATTGACACCACGAGTAGCAACAATAATGACCACACCTACGACAGGTAACACACATTTCGTTGTTAAAGTTTATTCCAAGATTTTGTGTTTGTTAAAAAAAGTCCTTTTTGTCGCACACAACACAATGATATGTTTTAATTGACATCTTGCTGTGTAGTCCTGTATTACAAGATACACTGCACAAAGGGACTTTCATTAAATGCATTATGTCCACAGATAACACATATTTGTATAAGGTTAGTTGAAAGCAATAATATTAAGTAGAACCTATTGTTTTTTATTTGAACTTAATCTTATTGTTTTCAAGTAACCTAATACAATTATGTGTTATCGGTTTACTAATATATTTGTTTAAGTCAATGTTTTAAACAAAAATTCAGTTTAGGTAGATGTTTTTGAACTGGGTTGGCAGTCTTACAGACACAATAGGTAGACAAACGAAAAAAACACAATAAATAAACACAATGGAATAACAGATTCATATAAACCATGCATAAAAGTGATTGTAACGGAGGTGATCCCTGGGGCCGTAGATCTCGGTCTCCGTTACGTAGGATATAGCTTCACTATTGGCGAAGCATATTAATTTGTTCCACGCTAAAACCTTGCACAGGAAGAATGTGAATATACGTGATTCACGCATCTGTCTGTGTTTTAGTCTGTCTGTCTCTGTTTCTTGTTTTAGTTTGAAAAGTGTTCCCCCTCCCGTCTTGTCTGTTGCTGGTGATTGTGTTCACCTGGTGCCCTGTGTTTCTCCTCCCCCCTCACCTGTGTCTTGTTGGTTTGATTAGTCCTGTGTGTATTTAGGTTCTGGTTTGCTGTCAGTCTGGGTGTGTGGGAGATCCTTGTTGCTGGTGACTGTGTTCACATGAGACAGTCATATTGAGTGTCCTGTACCACAAGGAGTCATAAATGCCCACGCCGGGTTGTATTTGGACGTTCTGCCTCCTTGCTCAGTCGGGCCGCTCAACGGTCAGCTTCACATGCTCAAAGCGCTTTAAATTACATATAATTGGGCGATGTTCCTTTAAGTTTATGTTGATGCCAATATTTCTGTTCTTTTAATATCTTGAATTCAGCGCTAACTGAGTATTTCTACCCCCTCTCTCCTCAGGTGTTAAACTCCTTCCTGCTTCCTGTTGAGTGACCCCCCCCCCACCTTCCTACCCGCCTTTTGACTCCGCCTCTTCTTTGATGTCATCTCAGGCCACGCCCCTCCAGGCGCCCCGACCTATGACCCCCCCGCTGCCTTCTCCAGGGTCACCATGCTCTCTGGGGTCACCAGGTAAATGTTGCATGATGTATTTCTGTGTTGGTCCCTGAAGGCAGCATCTCGTGGTCCAATGGGATTCCTCCATGTGATTTGGTGTAACGTTGTATTTCTTCCCCTCAGAGTCTCTTCATCCCCCCGCCTACAGACAGAGAGATCGCTCCCCCTCCCCCATGAGAGGATACCTCATCCCCAGCCCTCTGCCCACCCGCAGGAACAGGACCTGCTCAGCGTGAGCACACACACACACACACACACACACACACACACACACACACACAGATGGCAAAAGTACACACATCCTTTTCTCAAGTAGAAGTACAGATACTCGTGTTTAAAAATACTCTGGTGAAAGTAGAAGTACTGACTAAACTTCTTTACTCAAGTCAAAGTAAAGAGGCTTTGAAATGTACTTCAGTAAAAAGTACCCATAACTAGCAGCTGTTTTAAAGAGTACCTGACCTCCCTTTATATTAATAGAACAATAATGTCATTGTTAGCTAATGAATGTTTCCATGGTAAAGGGAGGTCAGGTACTCTTTAAAACAGCTGCTAGTTATGGGTACTTTTNGGTTGCACATGGGTAGATTTCGGGTCCTTCAAATCCCCACAATGCTTTGCGCACGGACCAATTTCCCCAAATCTGTGGTGGAAAATGTAAGGCGGGGCCTCTCATATGACGCACACCTGCACACTTGCTAGCCTGTTCCACTCTTTTTTTTCAGAATGCCAGGAAGGATTCTTGCCTAGCTTCAGAAGGAAGTGACTCGGAAGACATATGCTACCAAGCAAGCATCCTCGCGATTGAGAAACGGCCACAGACTAACAGGAAAACAGAAAACTAAATACACACAGGACTATTAAAACCAACGAGACGGGAGGGGGAACACTTTTCAAACTAAAACAGGAAACGGAGATAGACAAACTAAAACATAGACAGATCGTGACAAATAGATGCATAAATGACATATATTCACATGCTTCATGTGCAAGGTTTTAGCGTGGAGCAAATTAGTATGCTTCGCCAATAGTGAAGCTATATCCTCGGTAACGGAGACCGAGATATACGGCCCCAGGGATCACCTCCGTTACAATCACTTTGGCCGGAATCTATAGTGACAATAATGGCAAAAAATAGCGTGTGGTTCAAAAACTTAAAAGAGACAAAAACACAACATTCAAAATAAATAAAAGATGAACTAGGGTAAAAAAGCTTTTCTGTATTGGAGCTCCAAATTATAATTTAGACAATCGTTATTTTATTATTACACTAAATTGATTATCTCCAAAAGGGTTTTGAAAGAAAACAACATATTTGAGCACGATGCTGGACATTATCTCTCATATTTGTAGGTGAAACATCGGAGACTAAGCCTGCTCATTATTTGTGTTTGCTCATCTCTACAAAACTAAACTCATTAAGAGCTGACTAAAACACTTCAGATAAAACCAACAGCTCTCTTTTTTCCTCAACACCTTTGGCTTCACTGGGAACACAGCAGCTGTAGTTTTCTTGTTCCCGATGGTAGAGGAAGCAAGCCCCTTTCCACATCTAGCTAGATTAGCACCAATAGCTACACAATGTCTACTAACTATTTTAAAGAGGTCCTTCTCCTATAGTGTGTTCTATAGCATATCAATGGTCTGTAAAGGCTAAAATACCTAAAAATCTGCATAATCTCCATAATCTCATTAAAAAAACATATATATATATATATATTTTGATCCTATGTTTTGTAACCGTAGGTAAATATGTCTAACGTAGTGTCTCCTCCCCGCCCTCCGTCTGAAACGCCTCCATTGGACTCCTTTGTTTACTTCTGGAACCTACATCACTATGTAACACTCCAATTTTATTGGCTATCGCTCCAACACATTGCTAATGATAGGCTAAGGGGCGGGACATCTCTAAGCGGTTGTCCAATCACAACAGAGCTGGCCAGCTAACCAATCAGAGCAGACTGGGCTGGATAACATATCATTCATCACTTCACGACTCGACTACTGCAATAGCATCCTCTATGGCATACCATCCAACCTCCTCAATAAACTCCAACATATCCAGAACTCTGCTGCCCACTTCCTCACCCACACCCGCTCCCGACACCACTTCACTCCCTTACTCCAGAACCTCCACTGGCACCCCTTCAATCAAAGAATCAACTTCAAAGTCCTCCTCATTATTCACAAAGCCCTCAACAATCAGGCCCCCCCCCCTACCTCACAGACCTGCTGCACCAGGAAACTAAGTTGTTAGGGATAACTCTGGATCAAACACTGTCTTGGTCTAAACAAATTGATAATGTTGTGTGTAAAATGGGAAGGGGTGTGTCACTCGTTAAAAGAATTGTAAAATATTTGCCAATAGATGTCAGGAGACAAGTCTTAGATGCTTTGGTGCTATCACAGCTTGATTACTGTTTTGTTGTTTGGTCTAGTGCTTCAGAAAACGATTTAAATAAACTACAAGTAGCACAGAATAAGGCAGCACGATATGTTCTGCAGTGCTCCTACAGAACCAGAGTGACTGAAATGCTGGAGACACTGAAATGGATGAGTGTTAGACAGAGGTCCATTTATTCTCTGTTACATTTTGTAAAGAATATTACAGTGACACACTTACCACATATATTGTCACAAAAGTTCATAGCACAGTACTCTACACATAACTATCAAACCAGACATGCAATAGAAAAAAGGTTCATTTTACCCAAATCAAGATCAAATATCAGACAGAAAACAGTACTATACAGAGCAATGGTCAGCTGGAATTCGTTACCGGTCCATATCATTCAAGACAACTCAAACATACATTTCAAACATTTGCTAAAACAATATCTGAGAACTACAAATTAAAATTAAAATTAAATTTGAACTGTACTTGTGGGTCAATTAGTAATTAGTAATTAGTATTATCATGTAAATTAT